AGATGTTGAGAGAGCATGTTGGGTAAAGTAATACACAAAAATTCTTTTAAGTTGCGAAAGCCAGAACATGCCACATTTGTAGGTGAAACTATGTCTCAACCCACAGTTTTCATCATGTCCATAACTGATCTATATCCCTGCAATCTGCCTAAGCTTTATTACTTTTGTCTGGTTTTCAATTAGGTTGTGGGACAGCTACTTGTTGACTACTTAAAATTCAACTGAAGTTTCTTCTCCTTTCATGGAAAAATACAATTCAGCTTCAGCATCTGAATGTATATGACAGCAAGCAAAAGGAGCACTTTGAAGATCTGGATTTTTTGATGATACCTCACAGAAATACAGAAGAGAAAAAGAGAAGTATGTTCTCAGGATATAAGGTATCTATACCAGTTAAATATAGAAAGCATACTAAAGTAGGCATTACCAATCAAAAATTCTTTCTCACTAGAATGCACATAATACTTTATTACACAAACAACATAAGCCATTTTTTCTGGTTAAGGAATCTTTATTCCTAGGAGGACACAGATTTCAAGTATCTCACTGTAAATATATGGAGTCAGCACATAAATATGATGAGGTGATTCCAAGTAAAGTACTAATTATTACAAAGTATTGCAGATTTTTCCAAACACCTCCAGCCTATTTCCAGAAATAATAGGAATTTCAACCACAGCTTTTAAAATTATTGCCAAATTCTAGAGAAGTCAGTGTACTTCTGGATGTTCTGGGGGTAGTACAGAAAGAGTAGGGGGTGTTGAAAGTCCCAGTCTTATTATCTTAGATCTTCAGTCCTGGAATATCTGGACTACCTTACCCTGTAACCACACACTGCAAAGCTGACAACAGAAATGCTGGAATATAGACTGGAAATGTTATGAACTCACCTCTTCCTCTTTCCACCCCCATTTCCCCAACAGACTTAGGCTAGAAAAAAGCAACAAATATCCACAGTTATCCTTAAATCTAAGTCCATTAGAATAAAAATTATGTATTCAAATGCTGAATTCTGTAAAAAAACAGCCTTGTCTTTCTGTGAACTATACATATGCTTTAAAATTGAGTGTGTGCCTTGAAAGGTGTGGCCAGTGAGCAAACCTGAATCAATATATTACACTTGTTTGTACCTTACTGATCCCTAAGAAAGTAACTTTATAATCCTCTACCTCAACAGCTGTCAGCTGTAACTGTTCATTGCATTTCAACTGTAATTCAGATTTTCTGCACACAACTTGTCTGTGGACAGAACAGTATTTGTTTCCTTACTTTTCATAAAAAGAAGAGCATGTATTGAAAATCTTACAAAATGGAATCACATAAGACTTTATTTCACAGTGAAAACTCAATTTAAAGTGGCACCGTAAGAATGAGACTACTTTCCAGGCTAGTTAGTTCACTGACTTACAACTTCAGTAACTTTGATGTATGGCCTACATGCAGAATTTAACCAGTGTGTCCACTTGATCACATGACAGATAAAACCAACACATTGAAAATAAACATGTATCACAGATACTGATGTTTCTGGCAAAAACATGATTCTAACAGTTCAGTTCTGCATGCTTGATCTTCTGTATCTAATCTTTTTTTTTATTTTTTACTGTTTAGAAGTTATGAGTCATTCTCTAGGACAAAAAAAAACCCCAACAATAAGATAAGTATAAGCCAATTTAATACATCTCCCTGCCAGAACATTTTTTACTTAGCTACGGATACTTTCTGGTTTCTCAAATGAGTCTTCAGCTTTGATTTCACATAGCTATTGATTTTCCAAGTTACAAAAACAAGATTGCATCTTTAATCCACAGTTGCACAACTGTGTTACCAGGCTCTGCTCCAGTTAACCAGTTATGAGTAAAGTTACAGTTTTTGAACAAGCTTATTTGTCTGTTCTTCAGAGACTTTTTAAACTCCTGTCAGAATTCTGGAAAACAAAGCTGTAGCTGTAAATGAAAAAAAATAATTAAGTCTCACTGAGGAGACAAACATACTTCCCTGTTTCAAGGATAACTTGCAATACACCTTGTCAAACTTTCCTTCGTGAAGGAGATCAGAGTATCAATGTGTTTTGTGCAAATGCAAATAAGACATAACTTAGAGAATTTCTCTTTAAGATGAATCTACTTTTAAACAACCTTTTGAACAGCTGATACAAAACAAGTTGATACTCTCAGAAACTGGCTTTAGCTGCAGCATCACAGAGTAACCCAAGAAAAAAACAGCAAAGTGACCTCCAACCTGAACAACGCTCCTGCTCCTGGATGGACCTTTCTCAATTTACTGCAAGACCTGGGAGAGCTTTACAGGAAAGAGCTTCTAAACACAAACACAAAGCTGGGAAACGAGCAAGCGATTTTTAAGGATGACCATCTGCCTCTGAATGACTGCAGTTTTTCAGGTACTGAGAACCGGTGCTGACATTAGTGCATCTTTTTTATTATTATTATTGCTTTTTTTTTTTTTTTGCATTTTCTACCTGAGAATTTCTGGTTAAAACAAACACTAAGTGAAAGTGTTACAGAGTTACAGCAAAGAGGGGAGGTCGGGGGGAGGGGAAAGGGAAGAGGGGTTAAAACCCACAAAACAAATCAGTAACCGTATCATTCAAATACAAGGCGCAACAATTACAGAGAAACTTTAAAGCAACTTACCTCGAGGGAGAGAGATCAAAGAGCTGTTTTCAGTCGGAGCTTGCTCTGGCCCTTCAGGCCCCGGAGGAAGAGGTTCTCTCACTTGGGACATCTGCCAGCTCTCTCACCGAGTAATAAAGAGCCTGCACCCCCCTCCAACAAAACTAACACGCGACCCTGAAGGAACAAGCAAATGAAAGGGCTCGTTAATGTATTTTACGCAGAAAACGCACGGCTCGGGGGCGAGGGATTGAGGAGGGACAGCAATGAAGCGGCGACAACTTTGCGGCGCAGCGGCGGGCGCGCCGCC